CATGAAAAAATCCAAATTAAGATCTTATCTTAACCGAGACTTCTGTCATGTTTTCTGAGTGACATTCATCGTGGTCTTGTCATGAGGGTCCAGCTGGGTCCATGGGAGGGAAACACATTGCGTCACTTCCTGCCACAGCGGTGTGAGAGACTACAGGTTTGTGTAACCGTAGTGAAGAGTTAATGTTTCACTGCACAAATATAACTTCATCATCATTCTTTGATTTGTGTATCCAAAGGTCTGGGTTCAGAAGTGAGCGGGCACAGTAAAGTAAAAATAAATAAGAATATATGTTTAGGCTCTGCATTTATATATATTTTAATTTATCATGCAAATAACATGTTATGATGAAAAGGGATATTGTGCAGTGTAAAAAAACACATCTATGTAATAAAATATTTTTTTCAGTCTTTTTAAGACAATATTGTGAGTAACTGTAAGTAAAAATACAGACTAAATGACTTAATCCATAAAAAATATATTCAACAGCACCTTTTTAGCCCTGAGTAGTGTTTGCAAGTTTTCCTTTGACACTGAATACAGCCAGAAAAACCAAAAGTGTCAAGAGGGAAGCCTGTGTGTAGCCTTAGACAAAGCCCAGGGCAAAATAAAAAAAGTAAAAGATCTACAGAGCGCTCAGTGCTGCTTGTGAAGCTCATTGCTTTGAGTGCACTTAATAACTAGAGGCAATTCAGATGAGTGAATGTACAGACAGGTGACAGATGAGAGGACGCCCCAACACAGAGTCTCAGTGAGGTGCTGGGCCACCACGTGCACCAGAACAGCTCCACCTTGGCATCGACTCTCCAAGTCTCTGAACTCTCCTGGAGGTATAAACACTGTTCTTCCACCAGATGTTCCCTCATGTGGTGTTTTGATGATGATGGTGGAGACGCTGTCTAACACGTCGCTCCAACATCTCCCATTGCTGTTAAACTGGGCTGAGACCTGGTGACTGGGAAGGCCACAGCATCTGGCCACAGTGTGTAACCAAATCTAACATCTGCATCTCTTCAGAACTCACTGGGATCAGATTTCAAGGCTTGAAAAATACAAACTCTGAAGGATACCAGAAAAAAACCTTGTGTTTCATGATCATGCTCATTAAAAACTGTGAAAGTTGTTGTTATATCGCCCCCTGTGTGTTTGGTCCAGAAGGTGAGCATGCCACGTTTGGCTGCTGAAATCCACCCAGAGCAGAAAAACACAAATATTCATTTAAAAAAACACACGGCACGTTTCTGACTGGTTCTGCTCCGGTGGTGTTGGCTACGTTAATGGTGTGTGGGCACTACTGTGTTTATTTATGAGCCGGACACTGTTAATTACCCGCCTGCATAGATAGTTATCTCCCTCAAAGACACATTAACCCCCAAAGACCCAGAGAGAGTCTGTGGCTGAGCAGGATGGCCAGATGACTGCTGCTAATTACAAGATAGTGATGAGTCATCAACAAAATATTAACAAATGCTCAGTAGATGTGAAAACAGGACTTGTGTGCCACTGGCACATGAGCAGCAGCTACAGAATTTGTAGTCGTGCAAATGTTCCTCAGAGGCATTAATGATCGACTTCCACCTCAGTGAGTGTAACAACTGTTAACACAATCATTCATCTGCTTTTCTGCTGCTTGTCCAGGTGTCGACTTGTGGCTGCTGCCATCTGAGGCCCACTGTGTGGCTGTTGCACCATAACCCTCCAACATGTTGCTGTGACATCTTGTGGAGGACACTGAGGTACTCTAAACCCCTTTGGGTCAGATGGCTGCTGTTTGCAGCGAAATGTGACTCCTCCTCAGAGTCAGAACTCATAAATCTGAACACACTGACATGACACTTTCCACAGAAAACGTTGTCTCGATGTCCATCAAGAATAAAGATCCAGAAGTTGGCTTAGAAAGCACAGAAGAAAAACGTTCCTCCTAAGTCCAGAATTAGCCATCACAGTTTTCTTCAGTGTCAGTTTCCAGTTGTCTCTACATTTATGGATATGGTGCAGACACAAAGTACTAACAGGTCACTTGGTGATCTTTTAACAGTGGCAACAGTTTCTGATGGCAGGGGGAGCACAGCGCCGGGTCGTTTTCTAGAGATCTGTTTTCACTTGGACATTAAAGGCTCTTAGATTTTTTAAACACACAATAACCTACTGTTGTTTTGTGTTGTTGTGTTTGTTGTGTTGCTTTTCTTTTCTTCTTTTCTCTCTCCTCTATCCACTCACCCCAACCGGTCGAGGCACAACGCTGCCAACCAAGAGCCAGGGTCTGTCGGAGGTTTCCTCTGTTAAAGGGAGTTTTTCTTCCCCGCTGTGACCAAGTGCTGCTCAGGGGGATTTGTTGGGTTTTTTTCCTCTATAACAATAATAATAATGATAAAAAGGTCTAGACCTTAGTTTGTATAGTGTCCTGAGACGACTTTTGTTGTCATTTGGCGCTGTACAAATAACATTGAAACTGATTTGAAACAATTAAACATGAAAGGTTCCACAGCAGAGAATACATTAGGTACCGTGGTGTGAAGCACACAGGCTTTTACTCAGCCTGTCGGTTTGTCTGCTGCTGCCTGTGTAACACAGAGCGGAGTCCACGTAATGAGAAGGATGAACAGTGTGGTAGTTCTTCCACAGTGGTGAATCTGGGGTAAGACGTTTTTGTATTAAAGACAAAATGTCTACAAAATGTCTCTTAAAGCACCAGTGCCTAAACCATGTCACCGTGGCTATGATTGAATAAAAATCAGTTTTCAGCTTTAACTGCTGAGAGGCTGCAATTTTAAAGGCGTAGCAACAGCGCCACCCTCGGGTCAGTCGACGAAATGCCGGGGAATTTGCGGTAATTCAGTTTAGATAAATGGATTAATGGATTATTAATCCCCAAAGGGAAAGTCCACTGCTGCAACAGCTGATTCACAGTTAACAAACAAGGTGTGTCAGATTTTCAAAGGCTAAACTATATGCACAAGCTAAATAATCTATAAAGTAAAAATAAGTTTAAAGTATAAATGGAATACACTGCACTGTACACTAGTGCAAGTTGGGTCTAAAGAATATAAAGGTGCATCCTTGGATAAAAGAAATGTATCATGATCATATCTATAATAAAATATATTAACTTCATATTTTCACCTGGAAAATGTTGTAAGTTTGTTTCCGAGGACAGACACCTGCAGCAGCACTTCACCTGGATTCACATTGACACTAAAATTGAAATTATTTCAAATGAAATTTGACTATGAATTCAATGTGGTCCCCACTTCTCTGGTGTGAAGTGCAGCCACAATCATCCTAAACAATCTTACTGCGTTTTATTTTTACTTGTACTTCCTTCTTTTTAGTTTGTTAGTACATGTGTGATTAAGTACAGCGTGTTCTAATGATGCTTGTGCATATAATCACAAAATTATTCTAAACTGAAAAATAAAATCACTAAATTAAGTTACTTTTGCTGCCTGTGTAACAGTGATTAAGTGTATACATGTGTCTACATGTGAGGACTTCTTGGTCCAGATCTAATTATTATACCTAATGTTTTAATTCTAGATTATGACTCAGTAAATGATCTTACCAGAGCCCAAACATCAGACCAACGGTGTGAAGGGAAACCCCCCCTGACCTCTTGTCCGAGGTCGTGCAGAAAGTCCAAATAATCAAATAATAAATACTAAAAAAAAAAGTAATACATTTGAAAAAGATCACTGCAGTTTTTAAAACTAGGGAATAAGTTAAATATTTTACTTAAATGTACCAAAAACAACATAAAAATACAAAACAATTAAAATATTTCTAAAATAAAATCAATATGTAACAAATAACCAGAGACATCCATTCAGTGATTCAATAACATATTTTTAATTTTTCAGTGTTTTAGTATAAAAATCCCACCGGCCTGCTGTCGGCTGGTTTCCGCTCCCGTTGGATACAGGTGTGGTTTTTTCCCAGAGAATTAGCTAAAGTACCAAATCTATTTACACACAACATCCACATCCAGAGGGGCCAAAAACCAGGTAGTCTACCCGCTGCTAACCTGCCAGAGTAAAACATCAAACACTATCAACTCAATTTGCAGATTTAATGCTATTAGTCCAAAAAATAAAAAACTCACAAACAAGAGAAGAAGAGGAGGGGCCTCTACACGTGGCTCCTAGTGTGCCCGTAGTATTTTCTTAGAATACTCTCTCTATAAAGTAAATGCATATACATATTCTGCTTTACAATAAATTAGTGCAGGCACATTCTCTCCGTTCCTACAGCTGACTGTAGTTCAGCTCAGGTGGAAAAGGTGATTCTGTGACATTTTACAGAAAACGTGAATTGATCACAGCACACAGACAAAAAGGCTGAACACCTGCACAACTGTAAAAAAAAACAAACACACTTTAGTGGGAAACCTGTGGGCAGCAGGGTTTTTTGGTTTCGGTGTGAATGATGCACTTTAGGCATTTTGATACTTTGAGAGCTTCTATATAGATTTTATATAAATATGTACAAACAAAAAACAGATGTAGTCCACTAAAAACATTCACTGAAAGAAAATTAATGCCAAAGGAGAACTTGAAGCTTGAGAACTCAATAACTTATAAAAAAAAATGCTGAAATAAAAATGTTCAGTACAGTATGCGTTTGTTTTGCTCATTGTGGAGATAGCACCAGCAGAAACACTGACACCGTCATCACCTCTGACGGTATAAATATCTGAACACCGTGTACCAAAACGAACCGAGGGAGTGAATAAATTAGTATCAGGCCTTGTACAGGATATTTACAGGAGCTGCTGCCGACACAGACTGGACATTTTCATGGCTGGGGGGTTGTTGCAGCACATTGAAGGAAGTCGGAGGTCACACTCGGACACATTCATCAGGTTGACACCTGTAGTTTTTCAGTCCTCTCAGCCAAAGTTTTTTATTTCATCATTTTTCACCCGCTAACCGAGTCGTTTTCATTGCATAGCTCTTTAGCAAAACATGGCCCTCACCAGCTACAGTATATTTGGAGGGGGGGGGGGCAGGGAGGTGTGAATACAATCCGGTTCCAGTTTGCTGGAAATAGTAAACACATGTAAGTGTGTGTGTGTTGTGCGTACAAGGCAGAACCAGTGTGCCTCTGCAGTGGTGGTTTGTAAACCAAAAAGCTGAAAGGTCAAAGCGGAGAGATGGATGGCGGCAGGATTTCAGAGGTGGTGTAGGGCGGAGGAGGAGGCTCAGACAGGCCAGGGCTCAGCTCCAGCTCGCCGCTGACACAGGTCAGGTGGTTCATGGCTTGGTCGAAGCCAAGCCGCACAGCTTTTCGGATGTGGTAGGAGCGAGCCTCCGTCAGCTTGATTCTGTCGAGTGTCTGGTTGATTCCGAAGGGAGCCATCTTGGATCTAGGAAGCCATTGCCTGAGGAGAGGAGACAGGTCAATGTGTGACACGGCGCACCTCGCTTACAGCTTTGAAAAGTAAACTAAGAACTCGCTTCCAAGATTTTTAATCCTTTGTTTTAATGTTAACACTGCTTATTGTACATGAATACACCACTACTGTTAATGCTGCTGCTACTCGTACTCCTCTGAGCTCTGAGGTTCTCACCAGCTGCGCTTGCTGTCGAAGAAGTGGACGAGGAAGAGTTTCTCTGCGGACCTGAACTGCATCCGCTCTCCGGCTCTGAGAACGCCCCGCGGCGGCTGGGGAACCTCCACCCCTCTGTGCTGGCACATCGTCCTCCGCACTGTGGGATCCACGATCTGTATTGAACATAAAACACAGAGGGGTGGAGACTGAGTGAGGTGGCCTTACCGCTACAACAGTGTGGAGTAAATCCTGGTAGCGGCGGCCACACAGGAGAAGCCCGAACTCAGAGACACAAGCATGCAAGGCTGAGTCGAGCCGAAGACGCTCTGAGCGAATCGACCGGCTCCACATACACAGGCAGTCCAGCTGGGAGCTCCCGCATGGCTGTGAGGACAAATCACGAGCTACGGCACACACAGTGGCACAGGGGCAGATGGGTAATGAAACACAGAGCGGACTAACACTCACTCACCAGGGCGGGGAAGGAGGGATATCCACTACATTTAGCCCAAACTAGTTTAAGAGGCTCCAGAACAAATGGAGAAGCAGCGGTGGGCTTCCACACCTCTACAGGAACAACGACAAGCAAGTTATGAAGGATTCACTGCAACAGACAAGAGAGCACAACCAGTCTGAACACACACAGGACAGGAGCTCAACACACACACGCTTTGTAAAGATGACCTTTAAAAAAACAGTTGAGTCACTGCTAGAGTTCAAGTTGTTCATACTGATAAAGGGTTTATTTACTTTTTGTAATGGTAGGTAAGTAGATTTGTCCTGAGTTGATCTTCTGTATCAGGGCTGAGTGTGGAAAGCTTTAATGAATCCTATTGGTTAAAATACATTTGATCCAACTCATTCCTCATGGCCCTCATCTGTATTTTGTAGTCCTGAGCCTGTTAGTGTTGCCAAGCTGCTCTTCCTTATGACAGCCAACACCTAGTTCTACCTCTCCTTTATTAGCACAGCACAGTGTAGGAAACATTCAGGTGGCGGCACCAGGTTGCATCAGATGTCACTAATTAACATGACTGAAATGTGTCTGTGGTTGGTTTGTGTTCTCTCTGCAGCCAGTCTCAGAAGACGTGGCCACATGCAGCAGCGCTGTGCCTGTGACAGTGTGTCGGTGTTCACCACAACTCCAGCAGTGACAGGTCGTCTTCTGGTGGCTCGCATCACATCACGTTCAGGTGTCACATCCTCCAAGTTTAACATTAATCATATTACTATTTTAACCTTTACTGCAGCTGTCTGGTATGTATGTACTGTACATATGTAATGTATTACATAGTCAAACAAAGAAAGCAGTGGCTGCACTGGTGACAGCAAGTAGTGATCCGAACACAGCTGACAACACCCCCACCACCACACACAGGCTGGGTATTACTTAGCATTTTGAAATACTATGCAGATACTGTACCAGTAGGCTGCTACCACACGAATGCACCGCTCACCTGAGATCCTTTTGGCAATTGATTTGATTTGATTTGATTTATTCTTTCAAGCATGTAAAGACAGTTGATATGACAACTCACATAATTTTACACATAATCCAATATCAATTTGCTTATACCTAGTACATGCTTGAATGGAGTAGGAAGAAGTCAGACTTAGCCAGTCCTACCCCATGACATCATCTTACATCATTGGTTTGCAAGCAGTATCTCTACATAAATAATTCTCTTCTACACCACACAAGTAATACACTAAAGAATTATTACAATGTGTTAACATTCTTACCCCACACCCACAATGTTCCATGTAATTAATCATTGAGCCTGTTCTTGCATATATCTTGATTGACACATACCTTTATATTTATATTTAAACTCGTCAATTCTATTACTATTTTTTATGTCTACACTTAAATTATTCCATAGTTTTACCCCACTTATGGAAACACTGTATCTTTTTTTGGTTGTACGTATAGCATGAATTTTTAAATTTAACTGACCCCTTAAATTGTATCCCCCTTCCCTTTCATTAAATAGTTTTTGAATTCCACCAGGTAATAAATTGTTCCTGGCTTTATACATAAATGATAAGTAAAGCTGGCTAATCATTGGCTGTGATGCACAAAGGCTCTGTAGGTTGATTTTTGTGGGATTTTAAAAAGAATCCATCAAGAAGGTAGGATTAATGCTGGCACAGGCTCCAAAACGAATGTCACACAAGTGGAGCAGGAGAAAACGTGATGTTAGGGAGAGATATGTGGCTATACATGCTAGCACATCAGAACTATTAGTAAACTGGCTGACAAGGAGTTCCTGATAAGTTTAGTAGATGTCTTGAGTTGACCAATCAAAGCGTTGCCATGCTGCTTCATGCACATTCACCTCTCACTGCTGAATGGACAGTTGATGCTACTCTGCTCACCTGAAGGGATCTTGGCAGCTTTGGTGAACTCTCCGTTCTCAGTGCAGGTCTTCAGAGTGTTCCTGTCATCCACGGTGCTCCGTCGAGCCGCCACCGGCCGCCCTTTACCACTTTTGGACATGGTGACAGTGCTGAGAGGGAGAGAGAGAAATGTTTGGAAACTTGTGGAGCAGAAGCTAAGGAGAATTTTTTTAAATAGTCAAAGTTTAGATTACAGCTACAGGTGACCTTTATTTTAGTATCAATTCATCAGTTATTTTCTTCATTCACTGATTAACAAATTGGTCTGTAACATAAAAAAAAAATGCTTGTTGCAATACTGTGAAAAACAAGGAGACACTGAATGTCTTGTTTTTTGAATCAACAATCCAAAACCTAAAGATATTAAAGTTCCAGTAACTTAAGATGAAAGCAGCAGCAAGCACTTGACAGCCTGGACCCATCAAATGACTTGATGACGGATTCTCAAAATAGTTTTATTTCTTCAACAAACTGATGAATTAGTTGTTGCAACTCTAGTGATGGATTGTCTCTCTAAAGTTTCTGCAGGCTGAATTAGGAAAGAAAATGTCAACTTTTACACGATATATCGCAGCAAAGTAAGAATTTCATTGTGCAGGAGACACGTCTCCATACTGTGCATATGACAAACACTTTGAACCTTGAATCATGTCATAGCATTTTCCTTATTACTTCTCACCAAATTATTCCGTTCCAACAAAATCCTTCTTGTAAAAAAAACCAAAAAAAAAAACATGTTCAGTTGTATGGAGAGGAGAAACATCTCATTCAACTGGATCTCAGATCTCAAACATGAACCTGGTCAGTACAATGTTAGGACCTTATTACTACATTACCTGGGTGAGGGCGGGGTTCAGGATGCTTTGTGTTCAGGGCAGGTTAGGTCTGGAAAATGGTGGTACTTATTGTGGGCCACTGAAAATTGACAAAAGCATGGCCTGACACCCCCCTCTCTGTGGCCAAATGATGGGTAAACATTTAACTTGTACACTGAGCTTCCCTAGGAATGCTCTCCCGTTCTTTGGCACATTTAATTGTGTATTATTGTCTGTTACAGAAATGATGGACAAGACTTGATTTAGGTTAAACTGGAACTTTGCTCTGGATGTTTCCTCCTGAGCTCACCTTGTGCCGCAGAGGATGCTTCCACTGGAGGAGATGCTTGACTCGGACGCACAGCGGCGGCGAGGCTCCAGCAAGCGAGGTGATGGCAAAGTGTCTTTCTTCTCCAATGCAAAACCATTTACTATCCCTTACAGAAAAAAAAAAAACAACACAGGAAACATGTTACAATGAAGTAGAAGCACATTTCAAAATGACTTCTTTCACATTCTAGCTACTGCTGTATCATCAGAAAGGTTTTGTTTTACCGTGATTCCATTCAGAATCCAAACAAGACCACCGTTTTCTAAGTGCGTACCTGTGCCGAGGCGTTTTGTCGGCAACTCCTGGTCGTCGTCCTCACCATCGGCGCTGGTGCTGCGGGTCCTTTTCTTGGGTAGGAGGAGCGTTTCTAATCGAGGGATCACCACTGACAGGAAGGTTTTGGCGGCGAGGGGTTGTGGTGACACAGCGGATGCCTCTTGGGTCTTGGGGGCTTTCTGTGGGCTGGCACTCTTGGACTTGCGGAAGAGGATGTTGGTTCGTCGGCTGCAGGTGTTGGATGCTTCCTTATAGAGGTCGCCGTTGAGGAGCAGTGGGTCTTGAACGTGCCCAGTGGGGGTGTCCAGGGGTACTGAGGTAGACATGTTGTCATCTGGCTCCACGGGAGTCTGGTCCATGCTGGGTTTGATGAGTTTCAGAGGGGGCGGCTCCGAGTGGGTGGGCGAGGTGTGGAGCTGCGGCAGTGAGGTTAACAGCTCTAATGTTGGCGGATGTAAAGATTTCTCCTCAGGTGGTGTGCAGCTCTCTGTCAGAGGTTCAGGTAGGGGGTTGTCAGTGGGGGCCGAGCTGGGCTCTAGAGCAGGTGGTGGTGTTGGGAGCGACCTCTTCAGTCTCAGTTCGCTGCGGACATCCGTGATGGTCTTCTTGAGCAGTTTGAGCCTCTTGCTGCGAGACGGGCTGTGCTTCATGGCTGTGCTCAGGTCCAGCTTCTCCAGCAGCTGTTTCAGCTGATCCTCCAGAGGGGTCAGCTGACGGTAGGCAGGGCTGAGCACATGGTCCACTGAAAGACAGTCACATGACATCAACACACTGCTTACAGCTTACAATTCAGCTTCTTCCAGCATTTAACACTTCAACAGTTAATCAATCATGTCACTGTTTCTGTTTCTTACTGATCAGTCAACTCACCATCCTCCCAGGAGAAGGGGGGTGGCGGTTCAAGTTTTGGGGCTTGAGGCAGATGCAACCCACTGGGGAAGTCGAAGCCGATCCTCTCGGCCTCTCTGCGGGCCCTGCGGAGGATTGTTCCTCCATGGTCCTGCATCCGCTGACCTGCCTTGTAGAAGAACGTTTCCTTGGCATTGTAGGTCATGCAGTTGCTGATGATGAGGTTGAAGTCGGCCTCGAACTCCTCTAGACTCCTGTAGCTGTGAGCATCGATACGTTTCCTCATAGTCGAGAAGTCCATGGGGTTCTTGATGTGGTCCAGGTAGTCAGGAACCTGCAAGGGACAGAGGAGTCTGATCAGGGGCTGCAGAAAGTCAGAGGACAAGATTTACAGGCATTCACTGTTCTTAGATGCCATTTTCACCGGTCCACTTGCAGACCGTGGGACATAGCAGATGGCTCTGAAAACTGCTAAGTGGACCTTTAAGCTAAAGACTATGGATACACAGACAGTACAAACAAACATCTGCTGGGGAATTTCTCACTGTCATTCCACTTAGGATGTTTATGATGTTCCTGAACAGGGAGAAAAGCTTCATCCCTGCATCTAATCACTTGAGATGATTTCATTAGATTAATAGCTGGTTACAGACCTCCTTGATGCTGACGGGCTGAGCGAAGATGTTGTACTGGTCCTTCTCCTGCAGCTGACTGAGCACTGCTCTCAGCAGGATGTTAAAGGGGGTCAGCTGGACCTCCAGCACCGACTGCTGCAGCTTCATCTGACAGGATAACACATGAACAACTTCAACAGATGTGAACAGGACCAGACGTGATCAATAGACATTCAGAGACATGGCTGTGTATTCACACTGAGTCAAGTGAATCTCTGTCTGTTTCTTTGTAAGTGAAAACTGAAATAACGCTGAGCTACAATCTGAGGCTTTTGTGTGAGGTGGCTAGCTGTTTCTGTTTGTCAGTATTTGTTTGAACTGAAGTCAGTGTCTGTAGAAAGAAATGTTGAAATTAATCTACCTCCTCCCTCTTCAGCTTCTCTCTCTTCCTAATGAGCTCCAGCAGCAGACGAGCTCGCTCCAGGTCATGGCGAAGGCGGTGCCACTCCTTCAGCTGCTCCTTGAGCTCCTGGTTTGTCTCTGCACGATCCTGAAGAAAACACAAAACCTTCAGTTCAGTGAGAATTACTACATTAAAGAATAATGCTTCCGGTGTGTCAGGAGCACCGACCATCCGCTTGGCTTTTGGCGGCTGAGGGTTGGCTTGCAGCCGGCGGATCAGCGGCACGTTGTTCCTTGACTGCCTCTTCAGCACCCAGTAGCTCAGCACCCGCTCAACAAACAGACGCTTCCTCTGAACCGACACCTGGTTCAGGATGGTGTCGAAACTGACACACAGGGAAATAAAAGGAGATGTTCAGGATTAAATACTCATCATTTGTTTCATTCAGTAATCAGAGGTCAGGGAGGCAGGCAGAAATTCAACCTCCTTTAAAACAGGTGTCACATTTTTGTTTCTTTATATCTGAAAGAGCGTATAATCCATAATCGCTCTGGTCGTCAGACCGCTCATGTTTCTTGACCTGCCAGATTCTTTTTAATGATAACACACTCATATATTAACCTGTTAAATGCAGCGTTATCATCACAGATGGAAATGATGGATCAAAATAAGACAAGCTGTAAATGCAGTTGTTTCCTAATAACGTTAATAAAGTTATTCAGGTGTCCAAGTTTCATTCATGCTGTCAAGGAACTGAGTGCGCCTGTGAGGACCATTGGCACAAACTCTACTGCAGTAACATGGGGGAAAACTAAAAATTTATCTGAATATCAGTTATTAACATAATGATCTCAGGTCTGACCTGACTCGTGAAACCTGACTGTGTTTACAATACCGGGAGTTGGAAAGTTTATGAAGTTAAACTGAGAAAACACTGGCTGGAGTTGTCTACTGCAAGTACTGATTTATAATTCATGTGAGTTTTGGTTGCCTGTCTACCTTGAAGCAGTGATACTGGGCCCAGAGTTGGTGGGGGTGTCAGGTTCTTGTTCAGGCTCCACCCTCTTACTCTTCTTCTTCTGCCAGCCCTTGGCCCGGGCCTTCCCCCTCTTGTCAGCCCTCTTGTGACTAGCTCCATTTTTTGTGTGTGGCTCCTTGTAGATGTTGAGCGGCCGGCGGTCGCAGCCTTGAGGTGTGTGGCTGCTGCAGTAAGCGGTCTTTTTCACAGAAAAGGTGGTGGCGCCAGATGGCGTCACCTCTTTGACAGGCTCCATCTTCATAAAGAGGCCAGCTTTCTGGGCACAGCTGACATGGAAAGCAGTGTAACAGTTGATCTTGTCACACTGTATGCACGCTCCCACGCCCTTCTCCTTACAGAGGTAGCAAGTGAGCTTCCAGCGCGCTGGTGGGATGTTGCAGATGCCATCGATAGGCTCAATGAAAATTGTGTCAGAGAAGCCGACCTCGGGGACCCACAGAGCACATGCTACATGTCCCCAGCGATCATCATCCGTCTTCTTCAGGGCTCCGCCTCGGTTTGGGCAGAAGACGCACTCGGCAGGTCGCGACGGACACTGCAGGCAGTGGCGGCACAGCCACTGGCCCTCAGGGATGTACGGCACACCATAGCACTCCTGGTGCACAGCAATATTGCAGGAGTCACAGAAGAGTATGACGTTACTGTCGGCTCCATCTCCGTCCATGCAGATGCAGCAGACGGCGTCCTCATCCACCAGCAACTGCAGGTCACTCTGACCCTGTGTGGCTAAGTAAGACTCCTTCTCAAAGCGGTCCATGAGGAACTCAAACAGGTTGTGTGACACCTGGCTGATGCCCTCGCTCTTCCTCTTCTCGTTGATAAGCTCCAGCCAAGCAAAGTCTTCCTCATCCATGTCATATTCCACCTCTTCGTCCAGCTCCTCCGCTGTCCTCTCTGTGTATTTATAATAAACTGCTGGCCTCTTTGGCACCACTGGCAGATTGTATTCAACCGTTCTAACCTTTGGCTCCAAAAGGCCACTGGCACTGCTGTGGGTGCCGCTGCTGCCGTGTGAGGCCATGAGTGCCGTGTTCTTCTTCTGCTGGTTGTTTTTAAGGCGAACAGAACGCACCAGAACCTGCTGGGGCTTCTCATTATTCTCCTTGTTGCTGTTACACTCCATGATCTCCTGAGCAGTGGGGTCGTCATCACTGATGACGTCCAGTTTGTCATAGATGCTGAGCCGGTGCACGCGGCCGTCCACCTCCAGCTCTACCATTCGCTGAGCCTGCGCATATGTCAGTGTCTCCCGGTTGGGTGACGGCTTGATGGGTGACGACTCCCTCTTCAGCACTGACAGTCGGTGAGTTCGACCTTTTTTCTTCATGTTGAAGCCGTAAAGACACTGAAAAGCAAACAAATAAAAAAGTAAATTCCTGACGGGATCTTGTGAAAACATCTACCAAACCACAGTTTTTTCATGTTATTAACTCAACCTCCAGAACAACAACCTGCATACAGGCCAGCATGTGTTGGCTCAAACAGAAACTGCACCAATGATTAACAGTCTTAACCCTCAGTAATGTCTTGGAAGAACAAAGTACAGCAATTATTATGTTTACACAAGGATGTTACTGCATTTTTCAGCCATCATTTATTGAACAGCAGAGAAATAAAACAAGGCAACTTTGCATTTCTGTCAGTGAGCCAGGTTAGTTGCACTGCTTTATACTTGTGCAGGTCCTGTTTAAAAGCAGTGTTACGGATTTCTATCAGCTACAACATTTCTACATGACTCAGCTGACTGTATCATACAACCAGCAACAGTGTTGAACAGCATGAAATAATACTAAGCCTAAATGCTACATAATTAATAAACTGAATAAAGGATGCCCTTATTTAAGAATTCTCTATGTAAACAGAGCAAATGTAAATAGACAATTATATAGAATACAATATGCTACACTAAGTTATATGGTTCTGTGTCCATGTATGACAATATACTGCAGGTTCACACATAGTATGAGGATAAACCTGTGCATTGCATTGATGTATTCAATAATACAGTCTGAATATCTAAAGCAACTGTGTAAAATGCTGAACAGACTTCATGTTCATCCAAAAACAATGATTAATCAACACTGATTATTAAAATAGTTAGATGCAGCCCTAAACCGTTCAAGAAATCTTTGCACAGCCATGCACTGTCTCTACTTATACTACTCCTGTATGTACTAGATGTACTGATCTTTTTACAGTAAACGTTGTGTTTTTGGTCCAGCTCCTACCTCTGCAGATATATAGGTTTGTGTATTTATTTATTTAGCTGTATAAATATATTAGGAGTCAAATTTCATGTTTTTGTCGGAAGTGGGGTTGCAAAAAAAATGTCAGGTGGAAGCTGGACGTAGTGACATTCAGGGGGCGGAAACGCACTGACTGTGTGACTGGATGAATGAAAAACGTGCCGAGAGTAGCGGTGGTAAGTTGCCGGTAACGTGACACCTCTACACCGACTGCAGCGAGCCTCCGATCGCTCAGCTAGCCTGACTGAAGCCACACAGAGCTGGCTGCTGTGTATCACAACTAAAACGGTATTTGTTAACCACCGCTAACGTTAGCTCCGCTTGACGGACCCACAGCGTTGACTGGAGAGGTTAAACCAACCGGCTTGAACGTTACCTACCAATCACAGGCCCGTTAAAAGAGAAGTCGATCACGGTAATGTCCCGAATCAGGAGGTGGCCTCTCCGATCACCGATCAAACGCTGCATAACACTTTGTCCACCAGCTGGGCTCAGATTAGCCTGCCCTGCTAGCATTAAACACACCGAGGGGGCAGGAAATATGGCGTCCAACACAACAGAAACTGCCTCGAATGAAAAAGTTAGCTTTTCCTCAGAGCAGCGCCGCTTGGTTTTGAGTTTAAACCTGTCCAGAATGAACGAGATGGATATTAAAGAGTGAGATCAGAGTGAACCCGAACTTACCTTTGTATTTTCACGATTTCAGCTTGTAAAAACAGCAGCAATGGCGGCGAGGCCTGCTGAGCGGAGCCGCAGTTAAAACCACATTCAGTCCGCTCATCCAACTGCGGCCGCGGCTCGCGCTTAACCGAGTAAAACCTGAGTGAGCGGCAAGTATCCAGGGCGATGGAGCCGGTTCCAGGTGATATACGTTGATGGAAGTAAATGCTGATTAACAGGACTGTTTAGAAGCCGTCAGAAGTATTAGAGCTCAGCCGCTGCCCGAGCTTCTCTTCCCCCAACAACAATGCGGTAGGTTGTGCGAGTCGTTACGCCGTGACGTCATCTCGTACAAACGAAAACTGGGAAGTTGCTTAGATTTTTTCTTTTTTACAATATGAGTACTACGATGAAGAGTTTTCATGTTTTCTATTTTGTTTTCTATTTAAAACGTATCTTTTTCACGATATGGATGAATCCTTGAACGTGCCCACTGGACACAGACCAGGGGCCCATGGGGTCAGAGGGCCCCTACACCAGAGGACAGTGAAGTGACTGTTAACCTACATAGGAAAGTCAATCAAATGACCACAAAACGACTTATACTATTATTCCTCCAAATGCCGCATAATGAGGAAAAAAAAAGATGCAATACAACTGCAGATACGTATAACCTAACCCCAAAGACAGCAAAAGTCTGGGACAAATTTCAAGGACCCGTATGGTGGTGTTGTAGTAATAATTATGTTTATTTTCTGCAAATTGTTAAAAGTGTATAGTAACACAATGTGGCCTACATTTACTCAAGTACTGTACATTAGTATCATTTTGATATATTTGTACTGGAGCATTTCCCATTTTCTGCTGCTTAATAATCTTACTTCACTACATTTCAGAAAGGGGGCAGTGATGGAGAGTAACTAAGAACACTTACTCACGTACTATACCTAGGTACAATTATGAGGTATTTTCCTATTTTATTGCTTCATACTTTCTCTTCATTACATTTTAGAGGCAAATATTGCACTTTTTACTCACTACATTTATTCATATTCATAAGATTAATACAGAAAAATACAGTATAATTTTAAGACCTCATTGATCAGCAGTAATTCAAATTAAATGCAAATAATCTAGTAAAAACTAGCTCCCCCTTTACCAACTGCAACATTAAATGTAATGCACACAATAACACATCAGTAATTATTAAACAATAATATATCAGAATGTGAAATGTGCCATTCTCCATAGAGTACTTTTAATATTAGTACTTAAGTATGTTTTGATGCTAATACTTTAGTACTTTTACTTAAGTAACATTTTGAATGCAGTACTTTTATTTGTAACTGAGTATTTATAGCAGCAGTAAAGTCCTTCAGGTTCCTGGGCTCCACTATCTCCCAGGACCTGAAGTAGACGTCCAACATCAGGACCATCACCAAGAAGGCACAGCAGAGGATGTACTTCCTGCTCCAGCTCAGGAAGTTCGACCTGCCCCAGGAGCTGCTGATACAGTTCTACAGAGGAATCATGGAGTCTGTTCTCTGCACCTCCATCACTGTCTGGTTTGGCTCAGCAACCAAACAGGACAAGTACAGACTTCAGTAGACAATCAGGACTGCAGAAAAGGTCATTGGTGTGAGCCTGCCCTCCATGGAGGACCTGTACACCTCACGGGTCAAAAGGAGGGCGGAGAGGATCACTGCAGACCCCTCACACCCCGGATACACGGATACAATCTGTTTGAACTCCTGTGCACTAAGACAACCAGGCACAGGGACAGTTTCTTCCCCCAGGCTGTC